TCCAAATTGAGTCCATTTGTAAATTTCTTTGTACACTATTGCAAGTGTTGCTATATCTTTATTAATTGGACCACAGGTAATGGAAAATGATCTTTCCAGTAATTAAGTTTTAATCTTTTAGTCATCAAAAGCAGATGAAAAACCCACTTTCATTTACAATTTGTTAATTTTCAAGAAAGAGGTGGATATTACGAGATTTTCCAACATGATTAGATTTTACTCATGATTACTACCTAACAAAATGTAGATATCCCAAACCTTTGTGTTAAACAATATTACATCTCAGCAATTTCCTGATTTAGAAAGCCCTTTCCTCAATACATAGTGTGGTGACCAATATATCTGAAAGAGCAATATAAGGCATCCCGATAATATTTCTTTTGAAGGGTGTCATAGATGGATAAGATAATGCTGTGTTTTCAGCCTGCAATCATGTATGTGGTAGAAAGCAATGTCATGTGTGTGACATATCTAGAAATATAAAGAGAAATGAAGGATGAAAGAGAGGTTTTGTGGTTCTGTTAAGACTAACTACCCTATTTACTGCTAATGCTCACCTTTTTTTGGCTAAAGGGCCTTTCCAAAATTAGAGTGTATGTTAGATTCACATAATGTGGTAATCTTAGTGCTGAACCAAAGCAAAAGGGGAAGCTGCTTCTGGAGCTGCACCTGGAGCTCCTTTTTGAGAGACCTCATCTCAAATTTAAAGGCCATAGCTCAATGCTGTGCAATCCTGGGATTTGTCGTTTGGTAAGGCATCAGCATTCTTTGCAGAGAAAGCTCAAAACCATATTCCATAGCATTGAACCTAGGCAGTTAAAAGTGGATTCATTCTATCGCATAGATGCATCCCCAAGGTTTTCTTTTCCATTACTGGAAGTTTTGGTGCTCTGATACTTAAAGAAGGGGTTCTAAGCAGGCAGTAACCATAATGCACACCTTTTTTGGCCAAATTACAAAGAGGGCGCTTTTTATTGCTGCGCATTACAATATGCAGCTAAAACGTTTTTGGTTTCAGAGTTTTGAAAATTAGATTCGATGGGGCATTAGACTTAAGAAAACATCAGGTGGTTTGTTTTAGCATTTAATTAATCAGTCTTAAATGTGCTACAAGACACCTACCCTTCTTTTTTATACTAAAAAAACTAACATCACATTTATTGTGTATGGGCCGTAATAAATAGGTAGCATTATCCATGTATGTATGTATGTATGTATGTATGTATGTTAAAAAGCATTTATATGCTAACCCTCTGGGATAAAATGATGATTTGAATCAAGGCAAACATAACATATGGTGTCTAATGTTTGAGGAAGGGAAAGAAGCAAAATTGCTCAGGGTAGTGTTCTCTTCAGCCAAAATGTATTGTACTATTATAGATGGGGGTGGTTCTTGTGAGTGAATGCTCTCCCCATGGAACAAATCTCCTTTGCTATGCTTGCAGAATGCTTGAGGGGAAGACTAGGGTAGAAACCTCCCTAACACAAAGGCTTAAATACAAGTGTTAGTTCTAGCTAGAGCAGACACAGAGAGTCAGTGGGCACTTGTTAAGTCAACACTTATGCAGATTTTAGTGATTCAAATTCGTATGTTGGGATTAACACATTGATTTTAGCCGAATTTTACCTGTGGGAGACATTTCTTAAAAATATAGAAGCAGATCCAATTACGTGACCCTCACACATGCAATCATCTCTAGGCAAGGAGTTCCTAGCCTGGGTCTCTGGAGGGCCATGAATAGGCTTCAAAAGGTGGTGTGTGTGTGTGTGTGTGTGTGTGTTTAGTTCAGTTTCCCTTTTATCTTGAAAATTGTGTTCAAGTGCACTTTTCTGAAGCAGGATTCATCACTTCTATTAGTTTCTCAGAGGAATCTGTAGGTTCTCTGAAAGAATAAGAAACTCAGTAAAAACTAGCCTCAGGTTCCTAGGTCTCATTAATCTGCTATAGAGAACATGAATTCTTGTGGGCCCTCATACTTCTGTAGATGGCTTACGGGCAAAATTAAATGTACAATATTTGTTTGGAAAACTGTTCAACTTTATGAATGTGGATAGCGTTTTGCATTGACTTTATGGTGGAAATAAAATTGTTTCTTGCAAATCAATCTTTTACAAAATTGATTTTGTTTGTTGTGACATTTACTTCAGCTGTACGCTCAAGCACTTGTAACATTATCAGTGTCTGAACAGGAAAGGTTATATTTAGCTATGGAGTCATTTATGATTTGCGATATGTCTGAAAGTGAAAGACATCAAGATTTCTAAAAACAAAATTCCTTCAACTTAGAAAACAGGAATGGGTCTTTATGCATGATATTTTTGGGCACATGAGGGCAAACTAAATTCCAACTGTTGGAATTAAAATTGATAGTGCGGTTTAGGTTGGTTTATCTTCAGGCACTTAAAAAAATTTAAGCCACTGATAATTAAAATGATTGCAGTGTTCAAGATATTTAAAGTTGCAAAACAATCACTTGCCAACATCGCTTAAATACAGTTTGAATTTCCCTTGAAATATTGTTTTGTTGGAAATGACTGCCCTTAATGTGTAGAATGCTTGAGAGCTTGCCAGGTCTATACTGATGCATCTGAAGAAATCAATAAACCTTATTACAGTCATCACATTTTTCAGTCATCCGTATTTACCTGTTTTCTCAAAATAATAAGACAAGGTGGAAATAGTTTTCATTCATACTAAAATGCCATTTTATAGAACAAACTATTATGGCCAACTTCAAGGTAAAAGTAGCATGTTTATAAATAGTTTTTGATTACTATGTAATCTGTGTAAATGATACAGTGATACAGTAGAAGAAAGGACCAGCTGGAGCAAAACGAACTCAAAACCAGATTAAATAATTACCGTATTTTCTGGCATATAAAACGACCCCCAGCTTTTCTAATTAAATTATAGAGTTTGGGATATACTCGCTATCTTAGACTACTACTCTTACAGCACACACCAAATAATTTTTTTTAAGAAATCAGATTTTATTTCAATATGGTAATTTTCCTATTACTATACCCACTTCTCTGCCTCTCAGATCTCGCGCATGTGCGCCTGCTCCACTTCACTGAAGTCCTCAGAAGCAAGATCTGAGAGGCAGAGAAGGAGGTATGGTAATAGGATACAAGGGTGGGCCAGGCGGGTGAAAGAGGCGTGTTTTTCTGGGCACAGTGCCTCTCTATCTCTTTTTTCCATACTCCGGATGTGCTGGACTCTTGCAGCTTGCTCTGTCCTTCACTTACACCTTCCCGGTGAGGCGCCCCCTTACCTCATCATCAGGACCATGTTAAGTCACTTATTTCCATGAATCCCGGTGAGTGGATTTTCTTCTACTATACTTGTACAGTGCTGCCCTTGCTGCTTTCATACGGTTGCTGCATATGCTGGGGATGCGGCCGCGGCCGTTTTTGAGTTTTCCCCACCATATGCAACGATCACAGATTCTCCAGTCTGGCTTGGAAGTTTTAGCACCTGTCCTATAAGATGACACCCAGCGTATAAAATGACTTCTGACTTTTGAGAAGATTTTCCTGGGTTTAAAAGTAGTCTTATACGCCAGAAAATAGAGTATCTTTAAAATGGATGCTGTTTGAATGTTGACAACAAGATCCTGTTAAAACCATTAGTCAAGAAATAGATGGAAGCCAGAAAAACAACCTACACATCTTTGATCAATACAGTGATTATTTTCTGATTAACTGCTACAGTAGATTTAAAGAGTCGCCTGAGGGCTGAGAAGGGCGGTATACAAATACAGTAAATAAATAAAGAGAACTTTTCAGTTCCGCCACTCTGATTGTTGTTATATACCAATATTGTGTGGAAAGACTCAGTACAGGTTATCTGCAAGATCTTTAAATTTATGTATTGGCCAGCCATCTGGCTGGCCCGCAAAGCAACAGTTAAATATCCTGTCTATTTTGATTGGATCTCAAGAGATCTAATGCTTCCCCTTAGCAAGGAAATACTCTTAGCCAGTCCAGCCACCTATAGTTGCAGTAACACATTTAAGATACACTGTATTACTGCCTTTTATTAATTGAGGCACAAGTGAGAATAAGTAGGATATGGATAGTTCCTTTATTTACAGTGATTGATCCTTCTAGTTTCTTCACAGAAAAAAGTCTGATTAATTCTGAATTTAAAATGTGTACAAATAATCTCTAATATTCATGAAATTTGCAGGGTTTTTTGTTATATGTTTATGTAGGAAACAATTATGATATTTCTGTAATGGAATTTCCCAAATGTAATACAGATCGGTATGTGTATATTAGACATTTTAAACCCCTTTCATATTACTATATCAACTAAATAATATGTGTATTATTTCTTTATGGATCATTTTGCGAATTGTGGGTGAAGAATTTTCTCCTATAGTTATTTAGAATAGTTGAAACAGAATAGTTGAAACAATCACATAAAAACTAATTTTGGAGAGATAAAAACGTAATGTTCATCCTTATTACAGGTAGATGCAGTTTCGATCATATAGTACCCTAAAGCAAATCTTCATTACACTTGATGTTTTTATTAAAGCAAAAGAAAAATCACTCATCTGGCAGTATTCATTCTTTTCCTTGCAGATGAAACTACAGGAGGGATCAGGGGCATGTGGGGTGTGCTATTCCCCAAGGAAGGGACACCAGGGAAAGCCAGGACATTTTAAGTGCTGAGGCCAGTGGGTCAGTCTACTCCAGTTTGGGGGCGGGTACGTATTGCCTCTGACATTGTAATAATTGGGTTATGGGTACACTATGATTCTTCTTTTTGGACCTTAATTTGAATCCTTTTGTGCATTTTGGCTGGATAGAACAGAACAGAATCTCATCCAGAAAATCCTGTGACCTTCAAGAAGATTCACATTGCCCAATAGAAATCTTAGTTCTAGAGGCAGTGGCAACGGCAGCTGTAGAAATATGAGAGAAATGGAAATAATTCTTAAAATGAAGTTCCCCTGTCAGTAACAAAACATTTTTGTTATTTTTTCCAGGTAGAAGAGAATTTATCCAAAGATTAAAACTTGAAGCAACATTGAATGTGCATGATGGCTGTGTAAGTTATTCATGGTTTGTTTTTTTAAAGTAATATTTAAAAACAGTGCTTGAAAAGGCAGTTAAATGTTGTGAAATGTACTTTCCAAGGTGAAATGTACATGCAGATTCCCAGAATATAACTTCAAGACAGTTGTATTCCAGTTTGCATGAGACATCTGTAAATTGAGATTGTTAAGACATTGAAAGAAAAGTTGAGGTTAAATATCAAATGCTTGCAGATTACCCAAAACCGTAATAAAGAGGATTAGCTAAAATCTGTACAGCAGGTCAAGAAAGATAGAAAAACTCTTAAAATGACAATAACATGGTTAACAATCAGAGTCTGTATAGCTGTCAGAAAACAGAGGACTGCCTTCAAGAACTCAAAGGCTTGCTCAAATAAAGAGAACATAAAAGGAATAACTGGCACAAAAGAACTGCAAGCAGACCATTAGGGATATTTAAAAAGTAGAACCATATTGCTAATGGCATCATAACCTCCTATAAAGAATTCTTAAGTTCACCAGGAATAGAAAATTAGGTAGCAGGATAGCTTTATGTTGTATGACAGTGGAGCCAAAGAATAAGGAGTTTGTGAAATAAATTCATTTCATTAAGGTTAGGTTTAGAGCAGTGGTTCCAAATCTATGGCCCTCCAGGTGTTTTGGACTTCAGCTCCACAATTCCTAACAGCTGGTAAAATAACTGGGATATCTGGGAGTTGAGTCTAAAACACCAGGAGGACCAAAGATTTGGAACCGCTGGCCTAGAAGATGCAGGGATAGATGTCTGGGCCTGGGCCATTACTTTTGGATGATGGGCTAAAGCAAATAGTAGTGACAAGAGTTCAACAATCTGTCTACATATAGAGTGTATTATTCTCTGACATATATAGATATATAAATATAATGCTAAATACTTGCATGAGGGGAATATGTTGTTTACATGCAGATGTGGGCCATGGCCAAGAGAAGAAACTTGGATGAGGGGAATACATTGTTTACATGCAGATGTGGGCCATGGCCAAGAGAAGAAATATATGCATTTGGTTCTCTTGGATGATTATAGTAGGATTTTTGTTTTTAAATATATAAGGATGTCTTAATCTTATCTGGAGTGTTTAAATCTGTTTAGAATATCAGATTAGATAGTTGGTTTGAATTGCAATTACTTCACCTTTTACTCTTGATTTTTAAAAAAAATATATACCCCACAGGTGAATACAATTTGCTGGAATGATACAGGAGAATATATTTTATCTGGGTCTGATGATACTAATCTTGCAATTACTAATCCATACAGTAGAAAGGTAAGATGCTTTCTGTTTTCTTACCCATTCCTCTGCGCATTCAATATGTTACTTCTAAAAACATTTTTCTGTTTTCTGTTTTGTGATACATATATATCTGTGGCTCTCCTAATTATGGATTCAAAAAAAGTATATCTTACATAAGAGAGTTGCTACAAAAACCAAGCAGTACCATGTAAAGGAGATACTTTGGTATCATGAATTATTTATTTTGGCTTTTCCACTTATCCCATACATGCTCTAGTACTAATTCTAGATTATTACCAAAAAATTTCAGCTTCAGGTATGAAGTTAACTGTGTGGACAGGAACAAGTAATTAATTCCTATTTTGTCTAATCCATCTCAGAGAGGATTATGAAGATAGTAGGATGTTCCTGATCATTACGATGGGAAAGAAATGTATTTATTCTTTCTTATATAAATTAATTTAAAATGTTGAACTAATAACCTTATTTTCTTAGGTTTTAACAACCATTCGCTCAGGACACAGAGCAAATATTTTTAGTGCAAAATTCTTACCGTGCACCAATGATAAGCAGATTGTGTCCTGTTCTGGAGATGGTGTCATTTTTTATACTAACGTTGAACAAGATGTTGAAACCAACAGACAGTGCCAATTTACATGCCATTATGGAACTACCTATGAGGTATTGCAATACAATATATTTCTTATTACTATAGAGCGAAAGTGCTGATCAGTAGCTAATTTTACTCTGTAATTATATGTTGTAAAATTGGAACCAAATATATCACCTACTTTGTTTACATTCATCTCCTTGATTCAAGGCAATTGCAATGTAATGTTACCAATTTTAAATAGTTTTCCTCATTCATACCACAATAGGGAAACCCTTTTCAGCTTGAGGAATCACATCTCATAAAGGTCATTAAGGTTAAACTTCTAGGGATCTGTCCCAAATTGTGGTGGTCACTATAAAATAATTAAACTATACAATTTTCCAAATACTGTATTCTGGTTATTCCATATTGAACAAGCTAATTCAGGTGTAGCACAGAATTGTGAAAGTTATGACTGAAGAACAAAATAAACTTCAACCTTTCTTGGTATAGAGTACCTGCTATACAGTTCTTTGAATTCTGGCTTTATTGTTAAAATCTATTATAGTTCTTGCTGTATCTGATTGTTGAAATTGCTTACATCACAGATCATGACAGTTCCAAATGACCCCTATACTTTTTTGTCTTGTGGAGAAGATGGCACTGTACGATGGTTTGATACTCGAATCAAGACAAGTTGCACAAAAGAAGACTGCAAAGATGTAAGAGATACCTCTATAGAATTGAGAATAAGGAGACATACTGTTTTTAGGACGTGGCTTGATTGAATGCTACTGCTCAGGATTCTAGCATGGTGACCAAAATATAAGAATACAAAGCTATGAAAAAGAAAAAAGATGACAGTATTTTTACATAACTTGGTTATCTGACGTATTATAATTTAAAGAATTATCAAGCAGTTTTCCACTCAAGGTTTGAAAAGCTTGGATACATTTGTACTTTGCAGAAATTATACGATATGTGCCACAATAGCTTGTTAAGGAACAGTATCTGAATTATGATATAAAACATTTGAATTGGGAATTAGTATAGTGTACAACATTTCTATATAAGTATAGTCCTTTATACTTGTTTTTAAATGTTCGAAAGTGGATAATTAAATATGCTTCTATAGCAATCTTCTCCCCATTATTATATGCTATATTACTAGCGCCCTTTTTATATTGTAGCTATTTTTAATTCCTAATCTGATTGAATTGCTCTTTACATCCAATTAGCTGTTAATGCAATCCTTCTAAACTTGCTTAGGCAATACTTGTCTCTCATTGGCTACCTCATGATCTCTATTTCTACAAGAAATAAAAAAAATCAGATTAAAAATTGTGTTTACAAATGCAGGTTTGTCCTTTAAATTCATGTTCATGTACCATGCTTTTTATCTCTTGGGCCTCCTGAAATAGCCATTTGAACTCCCAATGGTTAAATCTGTTCTAATAGGCACCAGATTAGCTCTTTCCAAAACATGATTAGTTAGTAGGATTTAATTTTAGGTGTTAATGTACTTCTTAAACAAATGCAGTATTTTTCTTTTGTTCTAGGACATTTTAATAAACTGCCGGAGAGCTGCCACTTCTGTAGCTATATGCCCCCCAATACCATATTACCTTGCAGTTGGTTGCTCTGATAGTTCAGTAAGAATATATGATCGACGGATGCTTGGTACAAGAGCAACAGGTAAGAGAATGTTTAGATGACATTATAAAACAGATTTTTAATTTAAAGACATGAACCTCTAATTAGACATTTAATAAAATATTTTCTGAAGCGGGTGGCTTGCAATTATTACCATATTCATAAAAACTTGTATCTACTTCGTAATGGCCCCAAGGACTGAAACAGAACTTGAAACAATGGATTACAAATAGGAATTTACAATACTTGGAATCAGTTTCCTTTCTCAATAATGGAGGCATAATCATATTACATGACAATTGTAATTTAATTGGGAAGAGAAGAATAAACTTTCTTTTGTTACTTCTTTTATAACTAATGGGAGTATAACCTCTCTAAATTGTGGAGGAGAAATATCACATGGCCCAAGTCCTCGCTTTGAAAAAAATCCCTGCTCCACACGAAAATAAGTACATTATGAAGCCATGGCAGTATAACTTACTAAGTTTACACAAAGCAAATTTCTAAGCTCCTAGTTAAAATACTAGAATTGCACCAAATACTATATATACATATACTGTGAACTGTAGAATATTGATGTTTCAAAAGACTATGATTTAGACAAACATCAAATTGAAAACGTTCAGATTTGTTTCCCCTTGTGGAGGATATTTTATTTCATTCTTAATAAATTCCTTCAATTTGCAGCCATGGCAAATCAACATGGAAGCTAAATTCATCTTCTTCATGTCCTTCTTTTGGCTTTCCATTATTAGCTAGTTCAGAACTGTTCCAAATAGGTATTAGACAATTTATGACTTTGATCATAAGGAATCATATACTTATTGTTATGGTTATATATGTCAGTATATGTTGAAGTGTGTAATGTGTTTTAAATGTAATTTCATGCAGTAGCAAGATTGTATTGCTGTGATGTAAGTTTATGTTGGAGGCTGTGAGAAAGTAGCCCTGAGATACTCTCTGTGTGGAGTTATGAGAAAATTAGGGAGTATCTGGTATCTGTCAAGCAGCTGCAGAATTGTTTACACTTCTACTTCCTTTGTCCTGCGTACTATGTACTTCATGTCTGGTCGCTTACTGTAATGGATGTGTTTTGGAACTGCTCTAAGTAAAATAAACTTGCTTTGTAACCAGACGTCTCCAGAGTCCATGCTTTCTTCTAAGCCTGTGCAAAACTTCTGCTAACGCTAACAATCTAGGCAAAGCAAAATATTTTTTTTTCTTTTTCGATGTAGGTAATTATGCTGGCCGGGGTACTACAGGACTGGTGGCACGTTTTGTTCCTCCACACCTTAACAACAAATCCTGCAGGGTAACATCTCTCTGCTACAGTGAAGATGGGCAAGAAATTCTTGTCAGCTATTCTTCAGACTACATATACTTGTTCGATCCCAAGGATGACACAGCTAGAGAACTTAAAGTTCCTTCTTCAGATGAGCGAAGAGAAGAAGTGAGTGTTTCATGACTGTGGTAATGTGTTTGATTGCAACAAATATTATGTATTTAATCTAGAATGAATCTAGTTTCTTTTCATTTTTAAAATGGTATTTAATATTTATTCCTGCCTTGAATGCTGTTTTACCCTTAAGAGTGAAAGAAAATGGAAAACATAAGATTGATACCTTCAGTATTTCTTTTCCAGATTGAGTGGTGGGAATATTGCATGTAGATTCTTACCAAAAATCCAGCTGGAGTAAATCGAACAGCTGTGAGAACAGCTAACCACAGTGATTTTGGAAAATTATTTTAGTAACAACTGAGAAAAGTGTGGAATGGTATAGAATATTTAAATAAAGTAATGTTTTCAACTTGGTTTGTGTAGACAGGCATTATTATTATTATTATTATTATTATTATTTTACATTTATATCCCACCCTTCTCACCCCAATGAGGGACTCAGGGCAGCTTACAGACTATGGCATACAATGCTGCACTACTCATATAATAATAAACATGATATATCAATTTAAACAATTAGCATATCAATTTAAACATACAGTAATAAACATGACATATCAATGGAACAATTCAAATATAAATACAAGAAAAACCTTAAAAGTAAACATTCAATTCCAACCGAAGTGGGCTGATGACATCTCAATTAAACAATCAATTAAAGAATTCAATAAAAATACAAAAAAACATCTTAAAAGTAAACATTTAACCCCAACCAAAGTTGGCTGATGGAATAAGTGGCCAGAAGCAGCTGGCAACAGGTGAGGCAGGGAACCCTGAAAATGAGCACCTGCACAGGTATTTCAATATCTGGACGATGGGCGGTGTAGCCTTTAAAGTAGCTACATGGTGAGGCAGTGGGAGCTATGGAGGCCCACGTGCAAGTGTTCTGGCAGCCAGGTGATGGGCAGCGCGGCCATTAAAGTAGCCGTGTGGCAAGGCTGTGGGGGCCATGATTTCTCCTTGGAGGCTGCTAGGTCAGTTGGCTGGAATGAGGGTGTGGCTGCAGGTCTCCTCATGGGTAAGCCCAGGGCTGAACAGGCAGCAAAGCTGGATGGCAAATACTCAGGCCCCAGGATCTCCCTGGCAGCAGGGCCCAACAAAGCTCTTTGTCTGCCTCATGCCAGCCCTCTCAGCTACTTGAAATTCTCCATACCAAAATGGGGCACTCTACTAAATGGGTTGAGCAGTGCTACTGAATTGTGCCTCCTTTCGAATTACTGTATATACCAGGCCCTTTCCTTTTCCCCCTCAGCCACTTAAGTGGCCAGTGAATGTGGGTGTTGAAGTCCAAAACACCCGGAGGGCCAAACTTTTTCCATGCCTGGTATATACTCATGTATAAGTCAATCTCATGTATATGTCGGAGGGCAGGTTTGGGGGCCAAAATCATGGAACCTGTAGCTGAACCAAAGGCCATTCCACAGAGAATGGAAAGCATCAGTGCTGCTCCCTCAGGGGGCAAGCTGTCCCTGGCTGCTGCCTTGTACTGTTTTCCTGCCCATGGTAAAAAGTGGCCTTTCAAAAAGTTGAGAAATTGCTCTGGAGCAGAGAGAATAAAGGGGGTTGGCACTTCTTTCACATTTTCCTGGGACAGGCTAAGCTCTTGAGTTTTACCACTCTCCTAAGAGAAGGGGATGGTTCCTTTTTGATAAGTGTTAAGGTACAATACTCACAATGACCATTGGATATGTCAACCCAGGTTTTTTGGGTTGATTTTTTTACTAACATTTATAGACTTGTACATGAGTATAAAGGGTAGGCAGAGACATTTTTCACATTGGTGCCTTTCTGTCCCCAGATGTGCCAGGATCCGGCCTTGTATTTTTGAACAGGGCTTCAACTCCTTTCTGTCTTGAGAAATTTTTTCGCAACCCTCCATTTTCTCTTACAGGACTTCATTTGTGGTCAGGATCCACAGTTCTGATAAATTTTGAGGTACTATTTATTTAAGTGGAGGCACCGGTGGCGCAGCAGGTTAAACTGCTGATTTGCTGAACTTGCTGACTGAAAGGTCAGTGGTTCAAATCCAGGGAGTGGGGTGAGTTCCTGTTATTAGCCCCAGCTTCTGCCAACCTAGCAGTTAAAAATGCAAATGTGAATGGATCAATAGGTACTGCTCCGGCGGGAAGGTAATAGCGCTCCATGCAGTCATGCTGGTCATATGACCTTGGAGGTGTCTATGGACAATGCTGGCTCTTTGGCTTAGAAATGGAGATGAGTATCACCCCCCCAGAGTTGGACACGACTAGACTTAATGTCAAGGAAACCTTTACCTTTACTATTTATTTAAGTACTTCTAGTGCTAAGTATTGTACAAAATGTTTACACCAGCAAATATTGACTCACATTTACAACTGACAAACAGAAAAAGAAGAAGAGAAGAAGGAAAGAGTAATTGCAGATGTTATATGAAAGCATAATGTATAGAACAGATCTCTTAATCTCAAGATGTAGCATGTTGGTACTTTAATGTTATAAAAAGTTTAGTTATCTGAACAACAGTAGAACCTATAGAATAGCCCTGTAACAGATACTTAACTAACAGTGTGTTAAACACATATTTTCCTTACAGCTGATATATTTTAATGACAATAACCAAAATCATTTTTACACACAGTGTGAGCTGTGCAGTTTCCCATCAACAGCAAGGAGCTATGATTAGCTTACCTTCTGTATTTTAAAGAACAGTAAAATCCACTCTTTATTAGAGGACTCCTTAAATTAGATGAGAAAAAAATCCTTAATTGTTTAATATATATAAAATCATGAGCAAATGACAACTAAGCTTGAGATTGCCATAATATAGGAGTATTTTAAATATCTTAACTTGTGAACTGGCTGTCCAGGGCTGCCAGTTGGCTCCACGACATGGCTGCTGAAACTTTGTGGAGCAGTTCACCAATACAAAATTCTACTCTAGATTTAGAAGCAGCCATGTGTTGATAACAGAATGTTTCCTTAAAGACAGAAATAGCAACACGAAGAGTTCATCTGGCACAATTTGTAAGAATCCCTTCCTACTACTTCACCCAAATATATTCTGCCATGCATATGACCAAGAAGGGTGACTGATTTGAACAACCTGCGTGTAAACACACACACATCACACACACACAGTGGTCATGTATATGTGTGTTCACCATCCCTCTCCAACAATTTTAGCTCGATTTTAAGCTTTTTAATGAGATTTTAAGGACTTCATATGTTTGTTATTATGGGTATTGTGTTACATGTGGTGTACTTAAGTTGTTTTATAATTTATTGAGCTGTTTCTGATTTATTTATATATTATTGTTGGCATTTAATGTTTGCCACTATTTTGTTTTGAGTCGCCCTGAGTCCCTTTGAGGAGATAAAGCAGGCTATAAATGTATTTTTTTCCAAAACTTTGAACATAGCTTTATCTCTCTCAGCTATAAAATTTTAAAGCACCTTTAAAACAGAATTTGCAATGTGCCCCAAGGGATTATATTTTTAAAAATGTAAATCTTAAGAACATATGAACGCATGATGATTTGAATTCTAATCACCATCTCATTTCAATTTTGAGAGATAAAAAGGGGATAGAGTAGGAATACATATTTCGTATATAGAAAGATGATAAAATACAATATTTCTTCATGAAGACTGTGTGTGTGCACGTGTGAGAACTGTACACAATGAAATGAAATGAAGTGAAACTTTATATTTCATGTTTGCCATGTTCACTTCCTTACTATGTGTTCTCTGAATCTAAAGAGGTTATGTTCATTCACACCTAGCTTTGTCTCACCCTGGTCATTCCACAGATATATAAACCCTTTTTCCTAGTTTCAACAGACCTCACTACCTCTGAGGATGCTTGCCATAGATGCAGGCGAAACGTCAGGAGAGAATGCCTCTAGACCATGGCCATATAGCCCGAAAAAACCTACAACAACCCAGTGATTCCGGCCATGAAAGCCTTTGACAATACTTAGTACTACCAATTGTTTCACCATTCCTTCAAGGCTAAAAAATCTAATTATTGGAAAATTCTTATATGGCTAGAGAAATTTTGGGTCTGGTACCATCTGTAGATAAATGACTATTAGTCCTGTCCACCTTACTCCAAATTTCATTTCTAAACTAGTACTTGTTATTAGTAATGGAGTAGATGAGACTGAACAAATTGAAATTTAATCCAGAAAGCACAGGTGCTCAAATAAATCAGGGAATGGGGAGTTAATCAGTGCTGGATGACATTAGACTCCTCCCCACAAAGAGAAAGGTTTACAACTTGAGCAAATTGATAGTCCTGAAGCTTGGATTTTCTGAGGAACCACAGTATTCCCTCACTTGAATCTGTTTTGAGTTTTCCTCTCCCAGATAAATCTGTTGTGAATACAGGAGAAGGCTGTCAGCCTCTGTTCTTAGAGAGTCTAGCATAGACTCTACAGTGGTGTTCTTCTGAAAGCAAGCTTAGTCTAGTATTTGATAACTGGCTGCTTATGGGGAAAGGGTGTTCAGCAATGTGCTATATTCTCCATGTTTACTGCTTTTAAATAATGTTAAATTAAAAACTTTTAAATTGAACTCAATCACCAGTTTAATAATATTCTTACTTATATATCTTTTTTTTTTTTTTTGGTAAAATGAACTTTGTATCTGATTTAATTTTTGTAAGATGTTTTGAGGCCCAGGACTGAGAACAAGTCAGGATGAAGTAATGTGGTTGTGATGATAGTGACTGACAGTGATGGTGTTTCCATTTTAAAATTCCTTGCTTGTCTTTATTTTTCTAGTTACGGCAACCACCTGTCAAACGTTTGCGACTAAGAGGAGACTGGTCAGATACTGGACCAAGAGCAAGACCTGAAAGTGAGAGAGAGAGAGATGGTAATGTGTTTTGGAGGGGTGGGGGTTAGTTCTTGATGTACATCAGAATGTTCTATTTGTCCAGTTTTATTAATGTTATATTGTGCTGCTGTGGTTTTTTAGAAACACTCTGCAGTTTGGGAGTTGGCCACAGCTTAGTATAGTGCTTTTCCCTCTTCTTTACTATTAGGGGAAAAAATGTAAAAGAGGCAGTAGGTACTTAACTGATATGAAAGAGTAGTAACATGTTGCCTTGCTGTTGTAATTGTTCTGAGAGATAGAGTGTCATATTAAGCCTTACATAATATAATACCATTCTTTATTTTACAAAACCTGAAAATAGGCATTGTTGAAGAAGTTTTACTTTAGATGTTCCAACTGCATTTCAGTTTAGGGTCTTTATATTTGTTTTTACTTTTTTGTTACAAATATACACAATTTCAAATAGCAGAAGCAAAACGGTACTGTGCTGCTTTGCAATAAAAACATTCAGTTCTCTGTTTGTATATAGGTGAACAGAGCCCTAATGTTTCATTAATGCAAAGGATGTCTGACATGTTGTCAAGATGGTTTGAAGAAGCAAGTGAAGTTGCACAGAGCAACAGAGGAAGAGGACGATCTCGTTCTAGAGGTGAACTCTTTTAAGAGCCTTCAAAAGAAAATGCTAAGGGATTTTTATATAATGAAATATTTTTAAGGCTACAAGCCAAGAAGTGTCACATTCTCTTAATGCGGTGTGCTAAAGACACTGTGTCAGAGAAGTAGTATCCCATACTGGTCTTCATTTTTATCAAAAGCAAATTCTGCTCTTGTTAAAAGGTGGAACTAGTAGATCGGATGTCACTGCTGCTGTTACTGTCCTGGCAAGTGGTGAAACAGAGGCCCAGATGGAAGTAGATGGTCCTGAACAGCTGCAATCATCGTCATCTACAGTGTCAGCTCAAGCTCCCTCAACGTCTTCCTCAACAGAAAGTCCCCCTTCTACGTCCTTATTGTCATCTCCTGATAACGAACAGAGACCTTCCTTGGAGACCCCTGCGCCACCTACACTCCCACAGTCTGGTATGCTACAATATTAAGTGTCTCCTTTAGAATCCCATGGATATCTCATATATATATAGGTTTGTCATATGTTTGCAATAATTAAATGCACATTATTTCTTTTGGAAGCCACATTACATATGTAGATGGCATACAAATGTAACAAACAAATGATTAAGAAATCCCCAGAAGGGAAGCTGAAGTGGTATTACTTATAGTTTTTGAAACTACATTTTAAAAACCAACTCAGAGTTTAGCTGTAACTTGCCACAACACAGTTATCTGTTGTGTTCTGCCTCTGAAAGAACAGGGGACAAAATATTTATTTATTTATTTATTTATTTATTTATTTATTTATTTATTTCCGGCATTTATGTTCTGCCCTTCTCACCCGAAAGGGGACTCAGGGCGGATCACAGAACACATATATGACAAACATTCAATGTTGTTAAACAGATAGGACAGACAGCAGATAGAGGTGTGTGTGTGTGTGTGTGTGTGTGTTAGATTTATTTTGCAGATCTAATCTCTTAAACTCAAAGTAACTTCATTTTGTAATTTAAATATGTGAGAGTTGACATTGCAAACTCTGTAATACCACAAAAAAGTGGAAAGGTTGAGTGAGATCCAAAACAGTATCTTAGAGCAGTTTTATATATGCCCAGAGGATTCAAGCATGTTCAATGGAATTAGTTTTGATACAGATGGCATATCACAAACTTCAAATTCTTTTCATTTTCAAAGGCTTCTTGATACATAGCATGCAGACACAATTGTTTAAGAAATCTGAGCACAAGTCCTTTGCACAGGTAGAACTAGTTCTCTGGTATTTTGGATCTTGGCTCTTGCTGTTGGCTTTGTTACGGTGCTTTGTGGTCTCTGTGACTGACACATATAGGACTACTCAGACCATCTTTGGAATGTTCTACAGCTAGCTTTTTTCAGCTGAGGGCAAATTCACCTTTACCACAGATTTTTAGTATGGTTCCCCTCGCAGACTGCTTCCCTGTGCTGCACCTCCATGTAAACACCCCTCCTTCTTTTCTAGCTTTATTTATTCCTATCAAATAAGTCAGCTTGTTGACCAAAAGGTCGCAGGTTCGAATCCGGGGAGCGGCTTGAGTTTCCTCTGTCAGCCCCAGCTTCTGCCAACCTAGCAGTTTGAAAACATGCAAATGTGAGTGGATTAATAGTTACCGCTCCGGCAGGAAGGTAACGGGCCACATTACCTTGAAGGTGTCTACGGACAACATCCACTCTTTGGCTTAGAAGTGGAGATGAACACCACAGCCCAGAGTCGGACACGACTGGACTTAAGGACAGGGGAAAACCTTTTACCTAAGTCATTTCAGTGTGTTGTGGTTGTTACAGTCAAACTTTTCTGAATAATATGGAGTCTTTTCCTAAAAAGATAAGTAAATTCCATTTCAAAATATGTGTCTTTAAGATTTGCTTAAAATGTCCTGTCATAGATTAGACTCAAAGGGGTTAGAATTTTAGTCAAGTTTTAGGTAAACGATTTATTAGAGTTATGTTACATAACAGTACAACAGATCATAGCAGATATCAAGTAACAATAATTTTGATATATACGGGCATATCTACATTAGTCAACCAGCTCCCTCCGCCCCCCGACATTGAATGCATATTAAAATCGGTAACTTAAAACACATAATTTAGTTTGCTATTTCTACATGCAAAGTTGTTATTTTGTATTGTTATTCACTATTTTCAGTCTATACTTATATAGATCACATTGTTTTCTGTGAAATGAATAATAGCTTTTAAAGAAGGCCTCCTACTTTTAAAAGTGAGAAATAAAGTATTATTAGTTTAAAATATTGGATTATATCAAGTGATACGATAACTTGTATCACTTTTTCTCTTGCCCAACAGTTGATGTATCTAGTTTTTAGTGATCTGTATCCCCACCCAATTAGACCCTTCATCCCTGCTGAAATATTTCTGCCTTGATTTGGGAGCGTCTGAAACAGAATGGGATGTGTTACAGGGGGCTAAAACTAAAAGAGAGATCTGGTACAGATATGGGTGGTTTCAAAAACTGGGTACCCCAAATTGCAAAAGCACTTTCAGCTTAAGGAAATTAAATTGGGCATAACCCATTTTCTGCAATATTTCTCTTCCTTTGAATCATTTTGTGCATTATGTCTACCATCCACAAAATATAATCTTCTTGTGGTAACATTTTAATACACCCACAAGAGAGGAATGGTGAAAATGGAAAGCTGCAGATGTATAGATTGAGTCACTTTTCCATGTGGCTGTTGCCCAGTCTAGGTACCTGTTTTGCATATTGAAATTGCATAATTAGTTGCCGTATATACGTATGCCGCTAGTAGGTGCTTCTCTCACTTTTCCTATCACTCCCTTTCTGTTTCTGTATTTGGGAGGAAAGAAAGCAGCCCTCACCTAACACTCTTGAGTAAAGGCTTCATATTTGACCATTTGTCTTAAGATCACTTCTTTCTTTCAATTGTATTTCATACATTCCTTCTCTATATGCTACATATTTCGTGTTATTGAGGAAGGAAGTTATATTCAGATTTTTATATGAAAATCTGTCAGATGTCAGTTATCATTTTGAGAGCTTCACTAGTCATGCTTCAGGTCTCTCCCCTCCCTGTTACCCCACCAGTGAGCTAATTCAAATAAAGATTTTAAAATGAGGTACCGTTCATTGGATCTGAAGGAAATCATCATGTGCTTGTGTTTCACACCATCCTAGCTTTTTTATTTATATTTTCTTCACTTAATTGTTTACATGATTGTGTATTGGGTGGTACTGTGAAGCTTAAATGCTGAACTTCATAATCCCTATAATTAAACCCACATTTTGTATCCCAGCTATATATTAGTAACCTGTTTCTGTTTTTTTTTAAAAAAAGAAAATTTGCTGCTTTTATTCCTCTATTTGGTATCTGTTGCCTCACACTTTAGCCTTTATGTTCTTTTTATCCTATGTTCTATGTCTGTTTCTTTTTACACCCTTTTTTTCCTGTCTGTCAGAATTAATGGCGCCCGAGTTAGCTATACTTCGTAGGGGTCTGCAGCGCCTGAGGCTTAAGAAGGCTGAACAGCAGAGACAGCGAGAGCTAGCTGAGGGTTCAGCACAACAGTCCGGCAGCTCTGATCAGCCTTCCCCTAAGGGCTCCTCACAGGACCCTCAACCTACAGGTTGTCATTTGTCAAGGTTTATTAAGCAGCTGGTGTAGTTACATAGTTTGTGCTGCTATTGTTTGCTGAGATGCTTCCCCCTAAGATCAAAACAATGAATGCAGTTGCTGCTTGTCTGTTTTTTGTACCCGGTGGTGTTTATCATCACACCGTTACGGATTAACTAATACTTGGCTGCATCATTCCTTAACAATTTTTCCTTAAGTGTAGTTAATGAATGATATAATCCAATCAAAATTATGGACTTCTTTTATATTTAGCTGTAGCAATATGGACTTTTATTCTATCCATCTTGATGGCATTATAAGAACTAACTAATTTAGTGGTTCCCAGTGTTTAACTGGGTTTTTAATTCATTTCCTGTAATGGAAGTTTCTATGCTTTACCTGTCTAAAAATGTAATAGCAAGGGAAAGTAAACTGCCTTGTCCTGCCTGAAATGAGACATTTTAATCAGTTGCATCAGTCAGACGGAAGAGGCCTTTCTATTGGTAGAGCAGTGTATGGCTAGGATAATTGTATGGTTTAAGGCCCCTTCTTCATAATCCTGTTTTTTGAGCTCAAATAACCCAAAGCTGAAAATATTTTGCCATCTTTTTTATCATTCCACGTGTATGCTGCATCTCAGCTTCCAGTTATCTGGTATTTTGGCACAAAATTGACTTTACACTAAGTAACATTATTTTAAATTTATTTGTTTATTTTTTTTTTTATTTATATCCCAACCTTCTCAACCTGGAGGGGACTCAGGGCGGCTCACAAATCATGAGAATTTCCATTGTGCAGGAATCTTGTTCATAGTCACAAACTCATCTTCCTCTCCCATTAAACTATATTTTTGTATAAATCGGTACTTAGCAAACTTCCTTTGGTTTGTTAAAAATCCTGATGCATGAGAAAAGGAAGCCTGACAATTGTTGCCTTCATGTTTTGTACTTTTCTTTTAATGGCCAATGTAAATTATCTCTTTAAATAGGTATGCTAAGAGTTCACAAAGCATAGTAATTTATTGTAATGGTTGTGAAAAAGAAAACTCTCCCATAGCTATGTAAATCTTCCCTCAGAAGTAAAAGAGAGATTTGGCACTTACTCTGCCATAGGTTATAGAGTGTACAGGCTGCCCATCCTGCTTTTACTGTCTTAAAATGCTGAATGCTCGAAAAAGTTTGTAAATAGGCTCTGCTCTCAATTGTATGCTATGGGAAAGGAATTGTTGGGCTTTTATGTATATGGCTGAAGAACCTATGCATCACAGGGAAGATGTAGGTGTGTGCTTAAGGCTTGCTCTGTATTCTTCTGTGTACAGTGTAAAATAATATGCAGATAGCTGAGAAATACATTTGGAGTCAGTATGTGCATAGAGAAGGAACCCACTGAGAAGCAGTCTTTATTACCTTGTTTTGGAGGCATTCTGATTTATTTGCTCATATATGATCTTAAATTCCAAAATTCCTCATTTGGGGTTATATCCTAAAAGTATTTAACATATAATCTAAATAATATGGCTTAAAATTGAATATATGCCAAATTTTATTCCATTGACTTTCCATAGTATTTCATTAATAGTAGGGTCTAATATATAGTTTCATTTTGGGAGGGGGGAGGCAATGCATTTGGGGTTAATTTGATAGGAGTATTTTATAATTGTATCCCAGATTCTGGATATGAAAGCACAGTTGTCAGTTTTCTATGTGTAACAGAGTTTTCATCGGTATAGATGGGCAGGATTTGTGTTTCTCATGTCTACGTTGACATTAAGTTGTTGAGACATCAACACACTAGTTCAGTGGACTATTGCAGTTGAGCTCTATCGGAAATAAGTACTTCTCACAATTAGTTACATTTTTTTTTTACTTTTGAGGAAACATCTATTTTTTACTATCAGCAAAAGAAAGAAAGAAAGAAAGAAAGAAAGAAAGAAAGAAAGAAAGAAAGAAAAGAAAAATAATACCCTGAGCTATGTGCAGTTGCAGTAGAAGTGAGTCTCGAGGGCAAAGATATAATTAAGGTTAAAAAATTGTCTTTGAATAGCCAAATCAGAAAGATTTTGGTCCTTTGTAGAAATTTTAGGTGTTCCTAGTATGCAGTTGAGAACATGTAAAAAAAAAACCAAACCTATATTAAAGTGTGAGAGGCTTCTTTGCTGCAATTACTGTGATATATATGAGTGTGGAGTGAGCACAATTTGTAGCCAATTTCCAGTATTCTGTTCCTAGAATGAGTGATTAGCAAGTGAGCACTATACCCTCTTCGATGAGTCTGATTATTGGGACTCTTTCCCACCCCCACCCCCTGTGTTTTTGGAACTAAAACAATTTTGATCACCATCATAGATGATCTCTGATGGGAATTAGAATCAGGGTGCACTGTTGGTTTTGGTGAGCCTCTCATTCATTCAAAACAATCTAATCAGTCTCAGCCATGCTATTATTAATGGAGTATATATTGGAGGGTGGGATTGTTCTGCAGTAGTTCTAACCCTACCAGACTGAATGCTTGGAAAACATCCTGCTTATTCCTTTGGCTTGTGGTATTTATAAGAACTCTGTTTGATCAACTTGGTTTGGGGTCCTACCTTCAAGTTGAATCATAGAATTGTAGAGTTGGAAGAGAATGTTATGCAGGAAAATACAATCAAAGCAGTCTTAACAGATGGCCACCCACCCTTTACTTAAAAGCAAACAGAGAAGGCGGAATATTCCACTACTGAACAGCTCTTACCATTAGAAAGTTCTTGCTAATGTTCAGTGGAATCTTTTCCTGCAATTTGAATCCGTCACACCATGCCCTAGTCTCTAAAGCAGCAGAAAATGAGATCTAATTTGCAAGCTGGTACCCACCTGCAAGATGGTGTCTGATTCAGGAGCTGAAGTCTTAATTAAGTTAATCTGAATATGGGCACAGACTTGGGCGTATGGGGAAAGATAAATACTAGGGTTCATTGCTTCTCTTTTTCTATCTTTACTTGTTTCTCCTCTTTGATAAGAACTCTTTCCTGATATTTATCTATTATATTAAATGTCTTTTCTAGTTTGATTGTACTGTTAAAATCTGATTTAACTATTCAAAATAGCATGTGGACTCTTCTGTTCATATAATTTACCATATATACTTGTGTATAAGTTGATTTATACAGAAGGACAGATTTTAAAGTAAGAATGATGGATATTGATATGATGCATGCATAAGTCAAGGGTCATTCCACAGAGTGGAAAGCACCAAAGTCATATTAGATGGCCAGCCACCCTCTATTATTTCCCCACCCAGGCATTCAAAAAAGCAAGAAGCAGTACCACAGTTGAGGGGATCAATGCTTCTGGTAGGTTTCCTGGGGTGGACTTATCTCTTGCCTTTTGCCTGTGCACTCAGAGGAAGGGGATTATTCCTTTTGAAATAAGAGTTACGGTACAGTACTCTTATTGACTCATTGATAAGTTGACCAAAGTTATTTTTTGACTAAATTTTTAGAATTATGCATGAGTATATAGGGTATTATCCTTACATTAAAGTGTACACTCGGTAGATGGCAAGTACAGCTGTGTTAGTAATTGAAAGAATCCACTAAAGCAGCATCAACAATTAAAAAAAAACAAAGGTAAAATTATAATAAAAACAACACCAAGAAGCTAGTTGAAACAATTTTTAGAGGCTTTGAAAAATGAAAAGGTATTTTTAACCTCTTCTTTTAAAAATGGGAATTTATGCCAGATGACTCCCACCCAGAATGGAACCAATATAACTGGAAAAGTCTTAACATAGTTGCGGTTTGCATAACTTCAGGATTCTAAGATTTTTAGTCAGAGGCCCTCAATGAATTTTTTTAAGAATCGGCAGATACATGTCGGTCCTCTGAATTGTCTGAGTAAATGTTTGAAAATATATTCTTTTCTTCTCTATTCACTGCTTAGCACTCAGTTGTCTTTTCTAGTGAGTCATGTCTTCCCATGATATGTCCTAAATCTGGCAATCTCAGTTTAGTGATTTTGGCTTCAGGTTTGATTTTCTCTAGAACCTATTTATTTGTCTTTTTAGCAGTTAATAATATCCATAAAACTCTTCTCTAGCATATTTCAAATGAATTTATTGTCTTCATGTCAGCTTTCTCCACTGTCCAGCTTTCACAAGCATAAAAAGAAACTATAGATACAGTAGAATGAATGATCCTGACTTTAGTACTCAATAAATACTTTCAATGAGGCTGCTGCTAGGATAAAGATAATTCCTTTCACACTAATGGTCTCTCTGAATAATGTGATGTGTTCATGTTCAACAACACTTGGTTTGCAGATGATGAAAAGGCAAGTCCACGGGCAGGAACAGGTGAACCCGTTTTAAGTTTACATTATAGTACAGAAGGAACAACTACAAGCACAATAAAGTTGGACTTCACTGATGAATGGTATGAGTTCCTTTCCCTCCCTGTGTAAACTGTGTTAGGTTGTAACATTGTTCGATTTTACAATTTTATAGCTTCCACGTACTTTCTGCTTTATATATAGTGGTGACGTGTCTCTGTTTTTAGAAACCACAGAAAATAGAACTTGCCGGTGGAGAAAAGAATTGTGTTAAAATATGACAATGACTTAAATTTGAATTTTATGTACGAGTGTGGGTCAAAAACTTTTGCCTCCTGTGTTATAAAAACATTATGGATGAACATATAACAGCAGAAGTTGCTACAGATCATAACCTGAACTGTCCTCTACACAAAATGACCGTTCAACATAGTCACCATCAATTTGGACACATTTGCGCCATCGTTTAACCTAGGCATCAAAACCATTTCAGAAAAATTCATGCTTTTGCTTCGTGACCCATTATTTTAAAGCTGTTTTAATGCCATTCAAGTCACTGAATTTGAAACCACATAGGTTTTCTTTCAGAGGTTAAAAACAGGTAAAAGTCAGAAGGGGCCAAATCATAAACATTCTTCAAGTGATTATGGATTTCCTTAGGTTTACAACCTTCTTTTGCCAGAAGTTCAATAACGACTCTTTCTTTTAGCTTCAGATTCATGGTTCTAATCAGTCAATAAAAAAACAAGCTATATCAGTAGAGTAAGGCTACCTCTATCATATCATGCACAGATAATCCAGTAGCTGTGAAAGAAATAAAAGAGCAATGTAGTCATTACTTTTTGACCCACCCTCGTATTTATTGATTATTTTAAAGCATGTAAATCATTATCTGTAATCTTTCATAGGTATTATAAATAAGAAAAATTAATAATATTGTGGACAGAAAATATAATGCGTTCTGCAATCTTATGCATGTTCACTTAAAAGTAAAACCCACTGTACTCAGTGAATACAGGAAACTAAATATGTTTCCTGGCCTTGATTCATATCTTTTTATTTCCTCTATATTCATATATTCATGTGCAAATTAACCTCATGTATACATACATTGAGGGCAAGTTTTGGGTGTAAAATAATGGAATTTGATATGGTACAGAGGTAAGCTGAGGTCATTCTGTGGCGAGAGGAAACAGCCAGCACTGTCTCAAGGAGTCAGCTGCCTCAGGTCTCTGCTGCCATTTTCCTACCTTGGCAGTCATAAAAGCTAGAAGCAGTGCCACGGCAGAGAGGATAGAGCAAATGGGTGATTCTTTTAGGTTCTCCCAGCATGGACTCAGCTCTTGCTTTTCTCTGCTCTACTCAGAGAAGGGAATTGTTCCTTTTTTAAATATATATATATATATATACAGTATTCACATTGACCCATGAATAAGTTGACCCAGTTTTTTTGGTTGATTTTTTTGATTTGGTTGATTTTTTTGGTTGATTTCTAGAGTTATATATGAATATATAAGATACTGTTAAACTTTGCATATCTTGGAATGCTTCACTCTTAAGATTTTCTGCTTCTACATTCTGTCAATGATGTGATGGTTACGAAGATATCCTTTCTGTCAATGATACAATATGTTCCATCTTTGTGATGAAACATATGTATAAAATGCTGTCTTTTAGAATTTAGCCTGACTCAAACTCATTTAACATTTAAGCTTTGGTTGATGCCCTTGTTGTTCCCCCTGATGTTTTATTTGTGAGTTTTTAGTCTTGTTTGTGAGTTTTTAGTCTTGTTTGTGTTTTATTCTGCTTTATTGTATGATGATTTAACTTTGTTTTTTTTTTACTTGTGTTGTTGTAAGTTGTTTAGTTAGATTTTCACTGTACTTTGTACACTGAGTTAAAAACAACTTTGAATAGTAAGATAAAATTATCTAAGGCACATGCATGTATCTGTTGCCTGTTGTTATATCAGGAGCAGCACAGCATCAAGTTCCAGAGGAAGTGGAAATCACAGTAAAACCGAAGGTCCGGAAGAATCCCTAAGAACCCAAAGTTCAGAAGCACCAACACCAGAGAGTGAAGAATCAAGTAAGATCTTGCAATATATTGTGGCTAGGATGTGTCTTACCTTTTTGTAGCACAAGATATCTGTTTTCATGGGTCTCCAAAGCTCACATGCCATGCTTTTGTTTTAAAAAGCTCACAATACGAGATAAACACAAATATTCAGGTTGGAAATGTAGACCTACTTATGATTTATGTAATATGTTTTTGCTTGCCCAATGATATTACTATTGTTGTTTCTCTTACAGCACAATCTCCTTTTGAAATTATGCTTAGTTTGAAAAATCACATGGAAACTGCTGTTCAATGGTAGAAGTGGTTTCCAATTTTTTTGTAGGCTGTCTTGTATATCCTGTGGTTCATCCAGTCCTTGGATGAATTACAAAAATTATTCTTATATTCATCTCTTGTTAAAATTTTCAAGATTTTTTTATGTGTTAAAAGTACCAGAAATATAATTGCACAAAAATGGTATACAATCTTTTTTTCTGATAGTTAAATAATTTTGTGTAATTTTTCCCATTTCACATCTTATTCTTGCAAGTAAACTAAACACACATTTGCAAACCATGCAATTCTAATATAATTACAACACATTGTTGGAATTACAGCTACAAAGGAAGTATTATTAGTATTATTAGTATTAGTATTGGTATTTGTGCCCTGGTTTTCTTTTGCCAAATGAGACTCAAAGTGGCTGAAATAAGGAAACTATCTTTTCCTCTCCTCAGTAGTGCATGCAAATTGTCCTTTAATATATTGTCGAAGGCTTTCATGGCTGGAATCACTAGGTTCTTGTGGGTTTTTTCGGGCTATAGGGCCATGTTCTAGAGGCATTTCTCTAGAGGGGAAATGCCTCTAGAACATGGCCCTATAGCCCGAAAAAACCCACAAGAACCTTGTCCTTTAATAGATTGAGAATTGCTATAATGCATTTTTGATACATCATATTTATTACTCAGTATGTAAAATATAACAGATTTAGATAGCTTTCTAAAGCCTAATGGGTTGCATGATACCAAGCTAAATATTATTGGTAACCACCTTCAGTATTTTTGTAACATTTTAACCTCTGAATTTTAGGAATCCCTGAGGAATCCCAAGAAGAAAATTATGAAGAATTGGCATCTGCACATGAAAACATAACACCACAAACTGGTATGTAAAATAACTGTTATTAGCCTTCAGACCAACCTTGGCTCATCCTAGGGTTTTCTTGGCATGGTTTATTCAGAGGCTCAGAGGATGTGACCTGCATAAAACCACTCAAATAATGTATATATAAATTTCCAAAAAAACTAGGAACTGTAAATGCTTAAATGGGAGCTGAATAGCTGGCTTAAGACAGACATTATTACTAGTTTTGGATATTGTTAGCAGCCCTACTTATAGTAGATTTTTTGTGCTTATTTTGTTTGTTAATCTTCCCTTTTGATGACTGTTTTGTTGCAGTGCATTTAAAAATGTATTGTGGCTGTTGTAGTATTTTACTTACATTATCTAGGCACTGAATGGTTTGGAATACAATGTGTTTGTGAAAATGAATGCATAGAAATCAAAACTTGATTGTAGCAAACATTATCCTTCATTTCCCAAAATATTTGACTATAACTCTTCTATAGCTCTGTAGTGCTCCTGCACATTTACATAAAGTTTTAATAACACTCTCAAGCATAGACAAAGTGTTGTGTAGTGAATGACTAAATGTAATTATTTCTTTTATCAGATATTGATACATCTAATCAAGCTGAAAGTAGCAACGAAGAAGGAAATTATCCTCATCTTGACTTGACTTGTCAGGCTCCAGGGGAAGGTTTGTCAAACAAAGATATGGAAGAGCAAGACACCTTGAGTCAGCAAAGTACAGAGTCTACTGCCAACCCAAATAATACAAATAATGAACCTCAGTCACAGCCAGATTCCTCAGGGCTTACTTCTCATGAAGAATCATCTACAAGAAGTTCTGCTTTTCAAGAAACGGATGATAGTGATGACGATCCTGTCCTGATACCGGGGGCACGGTTTCGTGGAGGAGTGGGACATAGGTTAGTATTGTGGTTTTCTTTCCCCTTACTGCCAAGCAGTTGCTCATTTTATTTAATAAGAATATTGAAAATATTGCAGTTACAAGCATTCAAACATTCTAACTACATTCCGGGAAACCTGCAGTCAGTACAGGTATAATAAATAATTCTTGTGGTCTCACTGAATCACATGTATGGGTTGTTCTGTGTCTGTGCAGAGATCTTTGGAAGCTTTTACAGCTGCATTCTGGTGGTAAATCTGCCCGCCCCCCATGTACTTATAAGCCACATGTTTTCACTGAAAACCTAGTTCTTTTTTCAGCATCATTATAGGATTATTAGGAAGTCTCAACATTTTGGCCTTTTTAAATTTATGGCTTATGGGCCAGAAAACTTTCTTCAAGAGGTGTATCAGGTGTGAAGATTCTGACCATAAGAGCTGTTCAGTAATGGAACTCACTGCCTCGGAGTGTGGTGGAGTTTCTTAAATAGAAGCTGGATGGCCATCTATTGGGGTTGCTTTGATTGTACATTTTCCGCATGGCAGGAGGTTGGACTGGATGGCTCGTGTCATCTCTTCCAACTCTATTCTGTGATTTCATTGCCATTGATATTGTTTTCTCTGCTTAGGCAAGGACCATGTGGTTGAATTGTAACTGATTTGTAGCAAGTAAGGCATAACAGTACTTCATGTCCTAAAGCTCTGCAGTGGGAAAGATATCTCCAGACTGCACCCTTGCAGTCTCTTCATAAGATTTTAGTTACTATCTTCTCCTGCCCTTCTTCAGCTGTTTAGCAATAGTTGTAGCACTTGATGATCCAGATTCCTCAAACCTCAAGGTCTCTCAATTTCAACACCAAATGAAGCTTGTAAGCCCACTTTCAGGACTCTAGAGGCATTCAACTTAGGCTGGTCAAGTCCCTAATGAAACAACAGGGGGGAAAAAGAAGCATCTCCACCCTCTTTGACTTTGACAGAGCAGGAGGAGGAAGAGGAGGATAAGGACCATCTCCCCAAACTGTCCCAAACTTTATTTATATGTCCATGCAGCACCCCCTGCCCCACCCCATCCTCAAGTTGCATCCTTGCTTCCCCTAGTCCAATCTTTGAAATAATTGCTGGACACATGGAAACACAGTCCAACATTGGTTGCTATTGGGAAGGGGAGATTCTTGGAAATCTTCCCTTTCCCCGAGCTTAGTCACTGCAAGACCCTTTTTGCCTCAAGTTGCAGGGAGAGGTGGGTAAGAAATATAAAAAAAATATTGTTATTATTCCACTCTAAGAGCATCACTTCCTAAGATACTGGAATGTGTTGAGCCCAATAGGGAACCTCAACTTCTTGCTTTGTCCTGATATTGGAGTAGATCTCAGTCCTGGGAAGGTTCCTGATCTTAGTATCTCCATCATACTATTGGGACAAATATTCAACGTGTTTTTGTCACCATCCCCATAATGTCTGATATATTGACTACAATTACAGCTTGACTCAGGTCTGCGATAGAGACCATCACTCCCCATCATTGTCCTTGATTTCTGTCCATATGCCCAAGGTAAGAAATCCAGACATTATGATTTTTAGTCTTCTGTTTCCACCAAGAGTAGCATCATGCTCCCTTCTGCCAGCTGGGATTCTGTGACTTGATGGTCATGGGCTGCTGGGCTGATATCAGAAATTACATAATATCACCATTCTCAAATTGCTTGCCACGTGGAAGGTCCTTTGCGCATTCCATAGATTGCTTTGACACAGAAAGACCTTGCCTTCCCAAGAGTGGAAATTGGACTCAACCTCCTTCCTCCCAATGCTTCTGTCCAGAATAAATGCTCCATTTTGCAACAGGCTGTCAAAGCTTGGGCTATCTGTGGGATGCATTTCTTTTCTCATCAGACAGCCCTCTGTTTGGTTTTTCTTTATTTTCACTTTTCACAAGGATCATTATGAAGATTGGGGCAACAATTCATCTTTGTGCTCCCATGATTTGTTTCCATATGTCTTTACAAGCTAAATACGTGCTGTACTGTTCTCTGAAGATCTATATCTCTGCTTATTCCAAGCCATAGGATGCTCCTTCATTTTCCAGTTTTGGAAAAGTGTGAAGAACAACAGAAGGAGCTGAATTCAGATTAAATGCCTAATACCTGTAAACAGCCCTTTAATGTAGATATTCTTCCATCTGAAGACTCAGATTAGTAGTAGGATCCCCTCTTTCAAAAAATCCCAAAAGCAGACCTTGATTTTACCATCTTAAATAAGAGACACCATTTTACTACACATTGCATTTCATGGGGTTTGAGCATCAGTGAATTTTGGTATGTAACATGTATTCATTAAAGGTGAGTGTATAGAAAGTAAAGTAGAACTGAAATTCAGCTATTCTATCTCTTATTAAAGCACATTGTTCATTTTGCATGTGTTGCTGCTTACATGGCTTTTTCTTTAATACAGTATCTAGTTTTGAAGTCATTGAATTGTTTGGAAACTTCTATGGGCTAATTTTATTTCCCAACACTTTTCAGTGAACAGAAGTAAGTGTAACCCTTATATGCAAAAACCGCAACCTGGGAACCAAATGAGTTTGTTATACTCACATACTTGGCTCTTACCCCCACTCCACATACACACACTATTTATTCTCATTTTTCAAAATAGGTGGTGTTAAAAATAGATGGCAAGTATAACATAATGCTGACATAGCATGACCACTGAAAATTCAAAGCAAGAGAGAGAGAGCAAAGGCAAACTGAAAAGGTGTATGGTATTGAAATTCCCTGGGGTGCAGAAGAGATGTGAATTTCAAATACTAAATTTTCACTGACACAAGTTGACATCTTGACCTTACAAGAAGCTTTGTTTATAGATATTTGGAATAGAGAGCAGCCCTAGTTATCTCCATATCATGGAGCACGTGGAAGATGCTTCAAGTTATAGTCTAAATTGAATTACATTGACATGAAGTTATTGAGGAGTAAATGGTGAATTTGAACAAAGGAAGAGAAAATGTGAGTAGAATGAGAGGCAGTTAAAGACAAACTGTGAGGATACAATGTTGGTATTAGGATCAGTTTTCTCTCTCCCCCCCCCCCCTCCATACACCTTTATTTATAATATTGTTTTATCAAGGTATTTCATGGTTTTTGTTCAAAGCTACTTTGTAAATAATATAAGAATTCATGTTTAAAATAGGTAACAGGTAAACAGGAGCAACTTCCCAGCCTCTGATTTAAGGAATATGCTATATCTTCTTAGAAATATTGTTGTGCAGGGATGAACATTAATAGCCATCTCACATAATATAATTTTTTTACATTAAGATTGCATCTTTGAAAGTTTCTCAATATACAGATTCTCCTCTGTGTAAAAAAAGATTTACCATCCCAGCATAGACAATGGAATAGAGCTCTTTATGTTTGGTTGACAGCATCATCTGCGACGACTCCATTCTTGGTCATCTTTTATTGTATGCAAATGCACTGGGTAATTCATCACGTCCTAGGCTTTCAAACATCATCTACGAGCAGATGACACCAATCTGTCTCTCTTAATACATAATTGACTTTCTCCCTATAGCGCCTCAAATAATTCCAGTTGTATGCATAGTACCATCTCAAGGTGAATATGTCCAAGATTGTGTTTCTCATCTTTTCTCCAATGCCCTCCATTCCTTGTTCTATTGTATTCTTCCACGGACAGTGCCACCAGTCATCCTATGGTAAGGCATGAAGCCTTTGTTTTCTCCTTGACTTTGCTTCCTTTCTCTTATCCCCACATGTTCATTTAATCACTATGTATTGTTTTCCTCTTTACAGCATTGCTTAAAATTGGGAAATTTATTTCCATCTGCTTAGCAAAGAATTTAGTGTATGTCTTGGCCATTTGTATTTTTGACAACTATAGTATTCTTTCTGAGCTTCTGTTGTTTTCTCTTAAGTTGCTGCAACAATTATTTACCTCTCCTTTCATTCTTACCATATGTTCCTCCCCTTAAACCCCTTCACTCTTATCTTGTCCACTTCAGAATCCTGCACAACTTCTCATCCTCACTTTCAAAGCATTTAAATGGACTTGGCCTCTTCATCCGTCTGTTGTTATTATCCCATCACAGTCATTCCAATACTTTTCACTTATCCAATTCGACCATTTTCAGGTGCCATCTGCTTCTTGAAATGCTTATGCACTTTCTCTCTCATTGTGTGGGATGCCTGAAACTCCGTCACACAATGACCTTTGATTTTTTTTTTAATCTCCTACAATCCTACCTCTTCTTGGAAGGTTTTGGCTGAACATCCTAGTCCCAATACCCTACTGTAATAAATGCAAGGCACATATAATTAATATGAGCACAAAAATGAATTCCTGGTTATTCCCTTCCCAATTTTTTAAAAATTCCCGTTGTATACATTGAGGGTTATTGCCATTATTAACAGTTGGCAATCAAGTGTACATCAAATCTGTAGAGTTATCAGAAGATTCTAGTCTGACTTCTGCTCAGTCCTGATTTAAGGAAGGATTATCTAATTCTGTGTGAAAAATATGGTGCTGTAGAATTAATCGTCATAGTTTTTAGTAAATGCAATTATAACGTTTTAGACAATTAATAGGAGAACTGTGCTTGAAGGCAGCTCAGGCTATTTCACATTTTAGCTGATGCTAAAGTGGGCTATTGGCACTTTGTGTAAGAGTTAAAGCAGAAATGGGCAAGCTGCAGGATCTGAGGCTATTTTGTATCTCTTGACTAATACAAATTCTGCAAGCCACACTTTTTCCCTGCTAAAAGCTTTCAGCAGCAATTCGCATTTGAAGTACAGTAGAGTCTCACTTATCCAACCTTCGCTCATCCAACGTTATGTATTATCCAACACAGTCTGTCTCCTGCCTGGAATAATGTCCAGGGTGGGAGAAGCAAAGAACCCTTGTCTGCTAAATTAGTGCTAAATTCGTAAATACAGTAATTACTACATAACATTCCTGTGTATTGAGCTTCTTTTTCTGTTTATTTATTGTAAAACATGATATTTTGGTATTTAATTTGTAAAATCGTAACGTAATTTAGTGTTTAATAGGCTTTTCCTTAATCCCTCCTTATTATTCAACATTTTTGCTTATCCAACGTTGTGCTGGCACGTTTATGTTGGATAAGCGAGACTCTGCTGTAAGTTGAAAGCTTCACTCAAGATCAAAAAATATACAAGTGGAGTTTCAGACACTTCTACATTTTTATTTTTAAAATATTCTTGGCAGTCTGTACAGCATTAAAATATGCCAGAGAAGAAAATTGTGCTCACTCAATTGCTTACTCATAATGTAAAGCAAAACTTCTGCATGCTCTGCCTTCAGCCTCCTTCCCCTTTTTCAAGGAGAGGGTAGAATCACCTGTTTAATATTGAATGAAAGGCACATGTTCCTTCGGTAGACAGGAATCTTTAATGTTTTACACACATCCAGGCTACTAAAATCTCAATAAATTCAATGAGATTTAAGCAAAGTGTGCACATGTTTGCAGACCACATGATTTTTTTTAACAATTATGGTGCTTCTCTTCATAAACTATAGACGATCTGCCGTTGCTCGCATCCAGGAACTTTTCAGGCGAAGAAAAGAGAGAAAAGAAATGGAGGAATTGGAAACACTGAATATTAGACGCCCTTTAATAAAAATGGTTTATAAAGGTCATCGGAACTCCAGGACAATGGTAAATTATTATAGCTTGTGTTAAATATGCATTACATGGACTGGTTTAGGTGAGAGCAGCATATGCTAACCTAATTCTGACCAGGGTAGACCCACTGAATCCATGTGATATATGTAATTGCTGTCTTAGACTATGCATCGGTTGTTTCAGTGGGTCTGTTGTGGTTGGGTGTAGCACTTGGATTCAGGCCCTTGTAATGAAAAAGAAAGAATAATAGTAGTGTGTTCTCACTGCACAATAGATGCTTTGAATGTATTGGTAAAAACTTGCATAGATTTGGCTGCCTCCTGTGCCAAGAGTATGTTATTTTGAGTAGATGATATTGTCAGGGAGTTGGGGTGAAATCTCTGTTTTAAAGTGGGCACAGGTTTGACCTTGTTGATATGAAGAGATATGAAGAGTTCAACGTATAAGTGGCATACTGTTTATTACTGTACATACTGTTTATTAAATAAAGAGAATTTGGAAAATATTGTGTACATATTTTGTACGCATGAAGTGCATGTTTATTTTTTTAAAAATCTTTTGAAAATGAGAAAAGTCCTTTTTTCTGACATGAAAGTTTGAAAGGGAAAGATTACACTTAAATTAGTAAGACCAATTGCCTGTTGAATTTATTTATTTATTTATTTAAACGTTTTGTATACCGACCTTCTGACCTCTCTTGGGGGACTCAGACCGGTTTCCAACCATAATATCACATACAACCAATAAAACATCATAATTCATATTACAGTAAAACATTAAAACAGCAATTACATTCAATAACTACAATGGTCAGTCGTCACACTAAAATCGTTGCTCATCATCCTCCATCCGTATCTCAGGGTGTTGGCTCACTCATTGAATGCCTGTTTCCATAACCAAGTCTTCACCTGTTTCCTAAATGTCAGGATAGAAGGGGCGGTTCTGATCTCCAGTGGGAGAGAGTTCCAGAGTCGAGGGGCCACCACCGAGAAGGCCCTGTCCCTCGTCCCCACCAGACACGCTTGCGAGGCCGGTGGGACCGAGAGCAGGGCCTCTCCAGACGATCTTAATAATCTTGATGGTTCATAGGGGAGAATACGTTCGGAGAGGTAAACAGGGCCGGAGTCGTTTAGGGCTTTATAGGTTAACACCAGCACTTTGAATTGTGCTCGGAAGCTAATTGGCAGCCAGTGGAGCTGGTGTAACAGCGGAGTGGTGTGCTCCCTGTACCCAGCACCCGTTAGTAGTCTGGCTGCCGAGCGTTGGACTAGCTGCAGCTTCCGGACAGTCTTCAGAGGCAACCCCACATAGAGAGCGTTGCAGTAGTCTAAACGGGATGTAACCAAAGCGTGGACCACCGTGGCCAAATCAGGACCACTGCCTTGGTGTCCATTTTAGAGAGGAGCCCAGTGCTGCCTGCAGGACCATGTTTCACCCACCTTTATGCTGATTGATATGCTAGACTTTTCACTAAGTGTATCAATGTGACTTTCAAAAATGAATTTGAAAGCCTTATCTTCCATGACTCTCAACTATACATGCCAACCATAAGAAAAATATGTTTGAGATTTTTTTAAAGTTTAAAAATAAATGTTTCCCTCTAGATAAAAGAAGCCAATTTCTGGGGTTCCAATTTTGTTATGAGTGGTTCTGATTGTGGACATATCTTCATCTGGGATCGGCATACTGCTGAACATCTGATGCTGCTCGAAGCAGATAATCATGTAGTGAACTGTCTGCAGCCTCATCCATTTGACCCAAGTGAGAATGTTTCTATTTTAATACACATCTTGATAGTTTGTAGGGAAATCTTTCAATGTTGGATGCTTCACACAGGATCTACCAAAATTATACACCATTTTTAAAAAAATCAGCCATTTGATTCCGATTGGTCTGTTCTAGTTGAAACTAGTAGTTGGGTTTAGGACAGTGGTTGGTGTTGGAATTCAACCCCATACTGCCCAAGTCTCAAGTCCTCAATGAGGAACAGTTTTGGTTAACTTAGAATAGGGTAAGAGTTTCCCTTCCCCCATGTCTCCTGAATGACAGTTGGGAATGTATCTTTTTATTCTCTCTTCTCTCTCTCTGCTCTCATTCTGATTGGTTGTTTAAGATGGATACTTGTCTACTGCAAGCCTTTTTGAATCAGACTTCTGCCTTCTTACACTTTATTATTGAGAGTATGTGCTGTGTGCTTTGAGATCTCTCTCTGCTTGTGTGTCAGAGAGATGTAGTGATTGAGTTTTTCCCTCTCTCGAAACCTTAGAAAAGTTGGATTTTAGAGTATCTGAGACCCAGTTTTTTACCATGAAGAAATGCAGATATTTTTATTACTGTAAATAAACCTTTTGTGATTTTTTAAAGATTGGACTTTACATGTTTGCCTCCTAAGCTCTGAATTCTTTACAGCCACATCAGCATGGCAGATCACGCTTTGCTCACTAATGAGCTGAATGCTCAACTTTTGTATCCTGTTTGGTTTTTTGGATGCTTTGCTATATATTTTAGGGTAGTTTTCCCTAACAATTCGGAGTACTTAGCTGGATATGATAGTAAATTTAAAAATGTAATTATTTTGATCAATTGAGGGGATGTAATAAACCATGTCAATCATCAAGTATTACTACATTTGTAGATCTAATCAACTTTCTAACTTATTTTAATCTATTGTTTAGTTCTAGCTTCATCAGGTATTGATTATGATATAAAAATTTGGTCACCACTAGAAGAGTCCAAGATTTTTAATCGGAAACTTGCTGATGAGGTAAATTGTTCTTTTGTATTTGATCTTTGTTTCTTAACTGGTATTTCTTCTTCGTATAGTCATCCTGATGTCATTTAGATTACTTTAAGAAAGTTAATATTTTGTTTATATCTAGTACCTATATGTGAGTTGGAAGGATTTACTACCATGGAAAGACTAGCTTATAGAGAGAACATTATTATTAATTATAAAAAGTATGTGGCATGTATTGAAGCACCATTACATTTAAGTGATCTTTTAGAAAAGGAACAGTGTTTCACGTGGACATGATTAATGGGGAAAACACTGTATTAAAAGTTTGCTCACTAACAACTCTGATCTTTCCCACTTTAGGTAATAACTCGAAATGAATTAATGTTGGAAGAAACCAGAAACACAATAACTGTTCCAGCTTCTTTTATGTTAAGGATGTTGGCCTCTTTGAACCATATAAGGGCAGGTAGGAAGACTTTGGTTCCATTTGCGGCTGGATTTCTAATATGGAATACATAATTTTTACATATAATTTTCCTAGTTTTTAAAAAAAGCTATTTCATCTTCTTAGAACAGTATAAATGCATGCCTGAGAACAGTATAAATACATGTTACATAGCAAATAAAATCTTTTGTGAGCTTCTCTTCCCCCCCCCCCCCCCCCGAAAATTAATAGTTCAGTTGACTTTCCTCTCTTCTGTGTTAAATTATACTAACCTGCTGCTGTCCCCTGCTACTTAGAATTTGTAATTGCGGTCCATATAGTTACATTTCTACGTAAATATTTCTGATGCATTTTAAGTATTTCTACTCATTTCTTTACTAGGCAGTATGTGCTGGACTGTGGTTGGAGCAGAGTATTTTGTAATTTTGTACTCTAAAGTGGGGAAAACTGCTTTAAAATTGTGTTGAAATTTGTTTAAAGGCTCTTTTAAAACCTTTTCTGTGTCTTGCAGACCGGCTGGAGGGTGACCGATCTGAAGGGTCTGGCCAAGAGAATGAGAACGAAGATGAAGAGTAATGGGCTGTTCCCGGAATCCACCTAGGCGTCATGAAATTTGTATACGTCATGAATTATATTTTTCCTTACAAAGCTTTAGTGCAATTTTAAGGTTTTGCTTTTGGGGTAACCTAACATTTCGATTTTGAATGAATGTGTGCATGACTTGCAAGGGTGCAAGTAAAATAAGCAAAACGTTTTTAAAATGTTTTGTCATGGATGAGGGGTGCTAGAAAACGCAAAGTGCAATATTTTCCCTTAACTTGCAAAAATGGGAGGTTGGATCGATGTTTAATATAACTTACCTTATAGAGAAAACATTGATTCAAATAAATTTCTATACCTGCTATTTGCATGTTTGTTGCTTTCTATTAAAAGATGTGGTTGTTTTACACACGTGTCTGCCTTTTCACTATGACTGCAATGGGCAACCAACCCAGAAGCCTATTTCCTTTAGTGTTTTTCCTGGTGGAAAACAGAAAAAAACCTCCCTTACACCTTCATATAAGAATAGCTATAGGAGGGCTGCTCAGAGGGGTGGATGATAGATTAATTCTCATGTGAGAGTCATTGGTTCCAAATACATGACAGTTTTCCAGAAAAGAAGTGATCCTTGGCACACTAAGAAAAATAGCACGCACGCACACACACACACACACAAACTTTTGTCAAGTAGCTTGAGTAGCAGTTCCCAAGTTACAAACAAGATAGATTTGTTCTTGTATGTAAGTCAGAACATTTTTAACTTGTAACTCCAGCAACAGCCACACACACACACACATACCTTTTTGGATGGCATAGATAAGAGTTAACATCCACGTGGTGTTTCTTTTGCTGTCTGTGCTCCTGTTCAGAAGATTTCCCCTCACTTTCTGTTCCTGTGATAATTGGATTTGAAAAATTTGGCTTGTGGAAACGAGGATTCATGACACTTTCCCCCCACGATAACTCTTCTAGGAATGAATTTCCCTTCCTAGGGATAGATTTGATAACAACAACAAAAACACAATCTAGAGCAGAAGAGAAAATTGGCAAAAGAAGGCACTCCATGGACAGTTCTTGGGAAAAATTGAGAGCCAAATTGACAAATATAGAGTCAAATGAGAGCCAAAGTGATCTAATATCCCTGGGAAGGGAGTTCCACAGCAGAGGGACCACCACTGAGAAGGCTCTGTCTCTCGTCCCCACCAGACGTGCCCGTGAGGCCTGCAAGATCGAGAGCAGGAACTCCTCACTCAGACGATCTTAAATTCCTATAAGGTTCATAGGGAGAGATATGTTGGGAGGCTTTTCTGATGTCCTCTCATGGGGAGCTGGAGCTGACAGAGGGAGCTCATCCGCACACTCCGCTGATTTGAACCGCTGACCTGTCAACAGTCTTTCCGACACAATGATTTACCTATTTCGCCACCAGGGGTTCCAATGATCATATTGCTGCACTGAATGTGTGTCACAGCTGAGCCCATCAAGGTGCTAGTAGGTATTACCCAATCTCTGAGAGCAATGCTGCAGACAAGGAAGATTCAGCCCCAGAGCATTTTCTGTGTGGGTAAGCTATAAACTTCCTTTAGCTTCTGTTGTAATTCCCATCAGACATGTATGGCCCGCCTCCAAGTTTCTTAACATCATCGGGAAGCTCTGAGAGATTTCATCTTACTTAAGAACAGCTGTGACAGAAAAGCACAAGAAAGCAGTATGTTCTCCCTCGCTCCAAGCATTTTGTTGCCTCTGCTTCTCTCAGAAGTCGTCTACCTTGCTCTCCTTGTGTAAACAGGTGGTTCATTTATTTTTATTTAGTGCTCATAAACAGATTCTTGCAATCCTCACATATACAAGGTCTAGTATATAGGTTTGCATAGGATTATGCAATGGAAAAGTTGCTAGTTTTGCTATCAGGGACTATAAATAGTCCAGTTCAGAATTCTTATCTGCGCACCCAAAGCACTGTTGTGAATCTTTGAAAATGGAAATAAAACTGCCAGTAAAAGTAACAATGTTTTTTCTGACAAGAAAGAGGAAAAGTAATAGGAAATTCCTAAATAGGAATTAGGAAAGTCCTAATTCCAACAGACCTCTACCTCTGAGGATGCTTGCCATAGATGCAGGCGAAACGTCAGGAGAAATTCCTCTAGAACATGGCTCTATAGCCCGAAAAAACCCACAAGAACCTAGTGATTCCAGCCATGAAAGCCTTCGACAATACAGTAATAGGAAAGTCCAAAAATTATACAACATGAGTCTCAGACCGCAAGATGAAAATAGGTAAAGACAGAGACTCAACTTATCCGTCCACAGCAAATCAAGTTGAAATAAATTAGCCCTGGAGGGTCTTTCCTGTTTTAAAATTCTTTTTGTCTGAAACTTTCCCAAGGATTAAGAGTAGAAAAAAACATGAATAAAAAAACCCTGTGAAAGTAGGAAAACTTCAACTTTAAAAAAAACTTTAAAAAACCTGATGGAACACCTCTCTAGGAATTTTTAGCCCCTCCAGCATGACTCTATGGTCAACTTTCAACACAAAGTTGCAAATATTTAAATATACAAAAGTTGAACTACAAATGGAGAAGACCAATAGCATAGCTTTAGACCTCAGCCTCAACCTCAAGTGGCGAAGCTGATTCTGAATTAATGCTACATGTTATTGGCAACAGTTCTATCTTTCGTGATCCCATGGAAAAGTATGTTTATATTTTAAAATATATATGATTTGCAAGATAACATACATTTCCAAGATTTTTCTCATTTCTTGTTACTTTCGCACTGCACACCTACACACTGCAGCCAACACACTAATATGTTGTAACACAGTTTAGAAAGCTCTGGAGTAAACAGTAGTTGTAAAGGTTTCTCCTTGATGTTGAATCTAGTTGTGTCCATTTCTAAGCCGAAGAGCTTGTCTGTTGATAGCTCCAAAGTCATGTGGCCAGCATGACTGCATGGAGTGCTGTTACCTTCCCGCCGAAGCGGTACCTATTGATTTACTCCCATTTGCATGTTTTTGAAATAGTAGGTTGGCAGAAACTGGGCCTAACAGCAGGAGCTCACCTTGCTCGCTGGATTTGAACCACCAACCTTTCGGTCAGCATGTTCAGCAACAGCGGTTTAACCTGCTTTGCCACCAGGGAGCCCAAATGCAGTAATACTTGATGATTGACATAATTTATTGTATCCCCTCAATTTATCAAAATAATTTAATTTTAAAATTTTAATTTTACACACACACACACACACGTGTGTGTGTGTTTAATGTTCGTTTGTGGGATTAACATAACTCAAAAACCACTGGATGAATTGACACCAAATTTGGACACAATACACTTATTAGAAGAACAAGTGACCATCACTCATAAAAACACTGAAAAACGCAGCAGAAAGGACTTAGAAAGCTAAAAAAGCAAAAAGACATTATAGCGCATGTGCAAAAACAACTCCCCCGGCAAACAAAAACACACGATAGCATATCCACACTCTCTTTCGGACTATAGCTCCCAACATCCCCTTGACCAGGCCCTTTAGGAGAGGAGGATGATCCAAATGCACTGCTTCCAAGATGCAAGCTTTCTCTCCCTGGATCTCTTTGAGAGCATCCCAATCCCTGCATATTTCCAATTTCCTATTCCTGGACTGCAACTCCCAGCAATCATCCAGATAGATAGATAGATTAGAAAGATATAGGTAAGTAGATAGATTGATCAGGAGAACTGCTGTGAGTTGCAGTGCAAGAATAGATAGAGAAGGAAGAAAGAGGAGAAAGAGGAATGGAAAGAAAAGGGGGGAGGAAGGAAGAGAAGGAAGGAAGGAGAAAATGAAAGAAAAAAGGAAGGGAAGGAAGGAAGGAGAGAAAGAAAGGAGGAGAGAAAGCCGGAGGAAAGTTTGGCCACAGCAATGCATGGCCGGTACAGCTTTTATATACCAGTATATGTATGTGCGTGTGTGTATGGAGAGAGAGAGAGAGAGAGAGAGAGAGAGAGAACCAAAGTTATGACACAGAGAATGTTGTGACCACAAAATTTCACAAATATATGCTTTCAGTTGATTTACTCATTTTATCCCCCTGCCTCCCCAAATTAATATTGTTTGTTCAGCCATGTTGATTATTACACCAAGCTGTTTAGGTCATAGCTATTGCTGTGTGTCTTCAAGTCACCAAGGCAGTGTGAACTCGGCAAATACGGAGTTTTGGGTATGAACAATTTTCAGTGCAATTGTAGAAAATTCAGGACTAAAGGAAATGTTCATTGTGTGAGAAGACACAATTCTTACTGGGGACAATGCCTGCACAGCTATGCCTAGTTGGGTCCTTCCTCTCCCGGGCGTTTGAAGCTAAACTTGCTCACTGGCAGAATGGTGGGCATTTGGAAGCTAGATATATTTGTGTCTCCCTAGTAACATGCCAAGATTATGTTGTCAGATTCAGCTGCAGCTGGCACTAACGCTTCACAATCACAGTTCACGTTAATCCATTCATTTTTATTCAGCAGTACAAATAAAATGCCTTGAGGATTTAGCCCTGGAAGACGCGTACTCTTCTGTAGAGTTTCACACGCCATATCCAGATTAGGGCCCCCAACCCATTCCAATAGTGCCTTTTCTTTTTAAATAGTAGGTGCCAAAACCTGTGTGTGTTTGTTTTTCTCTGCCTATTAGCTATGCTGCCCAGTATATAGAATGTAAAGGAGGGGATTTAGGGATGAAATGAATTCATCACTAAAAGATTGGACTTGCTAGAGCAGAATGGGGAAGCATGGTAGATTTAGAAGCAAAATACACTGCTTAGCCCAAGTTATTTCCTTTCTCCCATTCTAATATCTGAAAATATGCAGCTGCTATGACTTCAAAGGAATTGGTAGACTAAATAAAAGGGATAGAAAGAAAAAGATTAAGTTAGGGTGGTATGGAGCCTTTATTGCTTATGTAAAACAGGGCTACAAGTGGAAATACTCCTGCTAATAGTTATAGTTTCTGATCTTTAGTTGCTGTTGTTGCTATTATTGTTGTTGCTGCTAGTATTTCATACCCACATCTCCCCGTGGATCAAGGTGGTGAACACCAACATAAAAAATACAACATATACAGTCAATTGGAACATATAATCCAATCAAAACATCTAAAGAACATGTGCATCTAACACTGTTTCTCAACCTGGGGGTCAGGACACCTGGGGCGGTTGTGAGAGGGTGTCAGAGGGATCACCAAAGACCATCAAAAACACAGTATTTTCTGATAGTCATGGGGGTTCTGTGTGGGAAATTTGACCCAATTCTATCATTCATGAGGTTCAGAATGCTCTTTGATTGTAGGTGAACTATAAATCCCAGCAACTACAACCCCCAAGTGTCAAGGTCTATTTCCCCCAAACTCCACCAGTGTTCACATTTGGACATATTGAGTA